AAAGTAATTTGTTGCACAATTGTAATGTTTTAAACTGCAACTTTTTAAACTTATTTAATAAAATATCTGTATTCTAATAGTTTTTTAATATTTGATTGTCTAAAAACAAGAAAAGGCTACCCCAATAAAACGTTCCATTACTGATTTCATTAAATGGTGAAAATAGTTTACATTTTATTAGAATTTGCCTCTGTTGTGGGAATATTCATTTCTGTCGTTCATTAGATAATGAACGGTAAATTCTATATAGGCTCAATATTTGAAAAACTACAAAACAAGTTAATTTCCAGGCAATTTTGTTGCAAATTAAAATGATTTACGTTTATAATATTTCTTCTTTTGTTTTGTATCTCTTCCAATTTGTGATATAGACTGTAGACTTCACCTATGTTCAAATATTTAAAATTTGGCTAATAAAACTGCAACGCTTACACGTTAAGGAGAAACAAAAAGATAAAATGTCACAAATATATATGTAAAAATTCATTTTCACTGATATTTGTGCAAGAAAAATAACATATTCGGGTATTGGAAAATAGGCCTATCGACAACAAATTGTGGACATTGTCCTTCAGTGCTTTGGTTTTTGCCCGTCATTACCCCACTTATCTTTACATGACGAATATCAAGGAGGCTAGGATATTGACCTCTCTTCCTGTACTGCGAGCTCTTGTCTAGTAAGCAATACGAAGTCGAATATTATGCATATTCTTTTTCCAAATTGACAGGTTCAAAAAAGCGGAAAATCAGAGATTGAGCATTTTCTCGAAAATGAAATGTTTTATTACGTAAAGCTATAGAACTCATTTAAAAATTTTGGCCGCCTGATCCATCTGTCCGCATGCGTAGGTGAACATGGCATCTGGTTAAGTCGCTCTATTTTGCTAGCAAGTGCGGCGCGGCGGATAGACTAAATTTGTCTTCCCTGACCCTTCAATATTCTCTTTTCTTTTTCGAAATAGTTTTGTCACATGAAATTCAAATATTAATGAGTATTCTTAATTATATATAAGGTTGACGTAATTTGCTACTGATTTTTTACAACAGAACACTTTCAAAAGCGATTGAAACTTTCAAAATATTTGAAAAAATAAATTGAGGGCTGAAAAGAAATCTTCGTTGGGACCCCTGACTTCCTCTACTGAAGAGATGAAAAGACTGGAGCTAAAAATCTGGAGACAGAACAATCTAAAGAAGATTCGTCCTTGCTGAAGGAGGAGGAGAACGACGACTTCCACCACTATGATGCGGAAGACGAAGTTGTTTTGCAATCCAGAAAAGTTTATCCTGTTCAGGCACTTCCTTTCAGTCCATCCTGGTTGGTGTTTTCTTGTGCGTATTGTAATAGGAATTTCAGATAAAATGACCCTAATATTAGTGAGCAAAAACTAGTATAAAACCAAAAATACAACACAAACAAACAAGAATGCCTGATGCGTTCATTATTAGCAGCAGAGTATTATGTAATCTGAAGAAAAACTCAACACAAAATATATTAATTAGATTAGTAAGCAAGCAAGTAATTGTCATTAATTGTTATTAAAGACAAAATAACTCAAGAAATTAAGTTCGCGAAAATGAAAAAATAGGCACAATAAAATGTAGATTAAAAGAGAAGAAACAATAAAATACTACAAAATTACTGTACGATGAGCATTTCTTCAGTTCAAGAACCGACTTACGAGAAATGAAGAGGCAGACAGATGAGAGGAGTGGAAGAGAAGAATTGCTGTCTACCAATCTTTGGAATGAGAATTAAAAAGCTTAAAAGGCTCAGAGTCACATGACTTTGTCGTGTTAATAATAATGTTTCTAACGAAAAATTTAAAAAAACAGTTGTCCAAAGTATGTTACCACATATTTTTTACCAAATATCTTTTACTTCTTGATGTAGTTTAAGATATTTAATAATTCTCCTATACTTCAAAAATATTTATTTTAATACATTGGATACAGACTGCAACTGAACTTCGCTCTATAGCTCTCGACAAATCTATGCCAACGTCGGCCCTCAAATTCTAGGACTTCCCGGTCTGAGTCGCTGCACGGAGCACGGTAATGACTCTGACCTGACCTCTGACTTCAGCGGTTCTTGCCAATTTCATCCACCCACATCAAATTACGCTTCAAAACGTTTCCATCTTCTGAGTTTATCCAGCCTCTGTGGATAATGCCGGATAATTTGGGAACAAGTCAGATTTGCCTGTTGTCCGTAACAAATGTACTACATAGGCAACGTATCAATTTTTCATTTATATTTTTTGCCTAAATATCCAGCGTTGACCGCGAATTTATCACAATATGTTAAACAGCGCTACTACTTATCACCCACTACGCCCGTTCTTTACGATCAGTGTGCACGGGGAGAGGGGAGGGTTAGAGGCGAAGCGTGGCAACAATTGTCAGTGCCATCGATCATCTGCGCATGTGCAGTTCGAGTTTCGCATCAATTTGGTGCTTCTGCGCATATGCATGTTCGGAAGATCGAGATTGAAGTCGACTCATACTCAAAACTCATAATGCAAAAACATGGGTGAAACGCTGCGCAGTCTATCCGGCATCAGCCAATGAACTTAATGCACCAATTTTCGTCACCATAATAGCATGAATTGTAAATACAGACAGATACGAAAACAATTATTACCTTCTTACAAGTTCTTGAAATATATATTTTATTAAATACTGCATATTTCATTTCAACTAAACCTTAATCGTCTTATTTTTGGTTGGTCGCCGTTAAAAATGTCGCTTTACGCCAATTTTAAATTGTTTCTAAACACTCTCGCTTGTTATGTAGCAGGGCGGTCAGTGTCTGCCCTGGCAGATCAAACGAAGTGACCGGACATTGTGGTCACGAGGACGTAACTAGTGCTGAATAGGGCTAGCAAAAAGCGGTGTGCCGGAATAGCACACCCATGTCCTTGCTTTATGAGAACAGTATTTTCACCGAAATTGATATTTCCTCGATCGACCCAAATGATGTCCATTGAATGAAGACGAGCTGATGTCGAAGGCTTTCGCGGCCAGATTCATGCGTTGGGCTGTGCGTGTGACGCCGCGTCGAAGGCTGAGGTGCCGATGTTTCAACCATCATTTCGTGGTCTTCTTCAGGAGATCTACTGCGAACTATAGGCCCTAGCTTTAGTGCGAACTACAGAAGCCCTGGTACTACAGCCCTGAAAAAGTCCACGATATGACGGTTGAAGCGTCGGCACCTCAGCCTTCAACGCAGCGTCACACGGACAGCCCAGATCACGAATGAGGACGAGCGTTGTCTTGTTGAAATAGGGATTGATTGACAGAATTTTGTTTCATAACAATCTACTAAGCAGCACTGTGAGTGATCTGGGCTGTCCGGGTGACGCCGCGTCGAAGGCTGAGTTGCCGACGTTTCGACCATCGCATACCAGCCCTGAGGAAGACCACGACAGGATGGTCGAAACGTCGGCAACTCAGCCTTCGACGCGGCGTCACCCGGACTGCCCAGATCACCCACATGACTCTGGTCGCGGAAGCCTACGACTTTACTAAGCAGCACTGCCCGCCTCGCCTCCTGAGCCCTATGTGTGTGTATGTGTGGTGGGCGTTATTATCCGCGCACGTTTTCTTGAGCCTTCTCTTCGCAGAAGCAAGAGGAGGGAGGAGTTTAGTTATTTTGACCAAAGGAATTTTACGTCAAATTTGTAGTTCATTTTTCCATGCAAAATAGTTTTTAATACACGGAAGCGAACATTTCTCGTTACCAGATTTTGTCTACAACGCTCGTTGCCATCATTTACTCTTCATTGAACTAATGTTGGGAAAGGAGTGGGGGTAGATATTCCGGGCCTCAAGAAAACGTGCGGATGTAATACTGTAGCGTCGTGCCACGCTCAAAACAGACAACCACGTGGAAATCGGCGAAACATCGCCGGATGTTAAACAAAGGGCGGAGTGATGACGCACTGGGACTTTTCGTAGACGTAGCGGACCCAGAGCAGCTTTGGGGAGGAGGCAATGGGGGCGGCGGGTAGAACCAAAAGGGCCTATATAAGGCCAGGAGAACAATGCCCCAGTCTTCTTGTGCTAGCGGCGTCGGCGACAGGTGGAGCGTGTGTCTGTGCGTGTAGGTGCACTAGGGCGAGGGGCCGGCAATTCATTGTCATGACTTGCTAGACCCGTAGATGGTCTCAAAGTAGAGCGGATTCATGCAGGGAACATCGATGGTATGTTGCGGTGGTATGGTGCGGTGGTAGCCGTTCTTAAATTATCTCTCCGTGTAGTGGGTCTATTTATTTAGTTTTATTGTGAGCAGGGTAGTTGTTAAATTGAGACTACGGTCTAGTAATAAAACGGTTGTAAATAAATCGACTGTTTCACACACCACTCTCGTCCGTGTTCGATTACGCCCGTATTATGCTACACTAGCATACTCGCTAGGTGGGTCTCAAAGTAGAGCGGCTTCATATAGGGAACATCAGTGGTATGTTGCGGTGTGGTAGGCGTTCTTAAATTATCTCTCCTTGTAGTGGGTCTATTTATTTAGTTTTATTGTGAGCAGGGTAGTTGTTAAATTGAGACTACGGTCTAGGTTGTTAGTAAATCTACTGTTTCATAAACCAGTCTCGTCCGTGTTCGATTACGCCCGTATGACGCCACACTAGCATACTCGCTGGGTGGGTCTCAAAGTAGAGCGGCTTCATACAGGGAACATTCATGGTATGTTGCGGTGGGGTAGTTGCGGTGTTCTTAAATTATCTCTCCTTGTAGTGGGTCTATTTATTTAGTTTTATAGTGAGCAGGGTAGTTGTTAAATTGAGACTACGGTCTAGGTTGTTAGTAAATCTACTGTTTCACAAACCACTCTCGTCCGTGTTCGATTACGCCTGTATGACGCCACAGTACCTGCATGTGGCGAGGGGTCCGCTGACGCTGCGCAGCGCGTTGGCGTTGGCGCGCAACGAGCGCAGCGCGCACGCCCACGGCAGGAAGGCGAGCGCGCGCAGGCGGTTGCCGCTCACGTCCAGGCGGCGCAGCGCGCGCAGCGAGCGCAGCTCGTCGCCAGAGTCGCCCACGCGGTTGAACGACACGTCCAGCGCCTCCACGCGTGCGCTCAGCGCGGGCGGACGCGGCAGCTGCGACAGCAGGTTGCGCGACGCGTTCACCTGCGCACGCACGCACGCACACACTCACACATGCCTTGCACGCCTTCTTTGCTCCTGGCGCAAACAGATGAATGACGTTTAAAGTGTGGGAAACGGGAAGGTGTGGATTCCGGGCGTGTCTAATACTTGATTGACTGATTAGTGATTCCGAGGGCGTATACTGCAAAGGTCAATAGTCCCGTAAGTCTAGCGGCTGTTTTATTGCGCACGCGCGCACAGACACGCCTTGCACGCCTTCTTTGCTCCTAGCGCAAACAGCGGAACGACGTTTAAAGTGTGGAAAACGGGAAGGTATTGATTCCGGGCGTGTCTAATACTTGATTGACTGATTAGTGATTCCGAGGGCGTATACTGCTAAGGTCATTAGTCCCGTGAGTCTAGCGGCTGTTTTATCGCGCACGCGCGCACACACACACACACACACACGCCTTGAACGCCTTCTTTGCTTCTGGCGCAAACAGCGGAACTACGTTTAAAGTGTCGGAAACGGGAAGGTGTTGATTCCGGCCGTGTCAAATACTTGATTGACTGATTAGTGATTCCGGGAGCGTCAACTTCTAAGGCCATTAGCCCCGTAAGTCTAGCGGCTGTTTTATCGCGCACGCGCACACACACACACACACGCCTTGAACGCCTTCTGTGCTCCTGGTGCAAACAGCGGAACGACGTTTAAAGTGCGGAAACGGGAATGTATTGATTCCGGGCGTGTCAAATACTTGATTGACTGATTAGTGATTCCGGGGGCGTCAACTGCTAAGGCCATTACTCCCGTACGGCTGTTTTCTCGCGGGAGGGGACAATAATATTTCCTCGCTGGATGGTGAGATCTGGCGCATACCAACCTTCGGCTTGCAGGTTTTCGCCAACCTGGTATCTCCCATCAGCGGGGCACCGCCCCAGCCAGGTGAAACTCTAAGCTGTCGAGCGATCTCCCGGTACGTGAGGTTGTGTAGTGCATGTAAGAGTGTGAGTGAGAAAGGGGTACGGATAGGACAAGGAAGAGGAAGGAAAGATCGCGCGCGGTCCATGGCTCGATAGGATAAGCTCCGGAATTCGTCTGGTGTTTATCGGAGAAGCCTTGGAAAACTACCGATCAGAGCAGCCGGCCTCTAGAGTTCTCCTCCAGACAACGACGTCGATAACCTAGTAACTCTCGGAACTCGAACCTAGGACTTCCCGGTCAGAGCCATCAGTTGAGCCACGTCTCCCGATGCGAGCTACATACCTCGACGATGGACGAGGGCAGGTTTTCGGGATAGGCGGTGAAAGCGTTGCGGGAGATGTCGAGGTGCGTGGTGCGCCCGAAGCAGCGGTCCTCGGGGGACAGGGCGGTCTTCCGCAGCCCCGAGCAGTCGAGCGTGCGCGTGAGCACGCCCGAGCACGCACACACGCGCGCCGCAGCCGCCGCCTCCTGCGCCCCCTGCGCCGCCACCGTCGCCGTACTCAAAACGGCCCATGCGGCAAGCGCTGCTACGGCGTGCATGGTCGCTGGTTCGAGTCACGTCGGATGTCGAGTGGATGACGAGATGTGGACTGCTTCAGTGACGTTTGCTCTCACACGTTATACATGCGTCCCGCGAGTAATATTGATTTCAGAAGGCGGCTGATAAATTTCTTCAGCAATATTTGACATTCGGAAATGGTCTTGTTTCGCCACGACGTATGATTCAGGAGATTGTGGTCCACAACTTCGCAGATTATGTTTTTCACTTATGAGGCCAGAAAAATTGTTGTTTTTTTTAGTAACTGTCAACTTCAAGTATATTGCTACGGTTGTAGTGTTTGTATTTGTTGAAGAATCATGTGCGGTAGATCTCTTGGTAGAATTTTCTTCAACTACATTCAACTCCACCCGAACTGGAGAACTTAAGGTGAAATGAATAGTTGTTTTATCTGGAGTTTTTCATCTATGACTAGCAATTTTAGAAATTGTTATTATGGAACCTATGGCTTTGTAGGTCCCTTAAACCTGTCAGAGTGACAGAACTACTTCATCCCAAATTCAAAATATTCTTCGAGAAGCTTCTGTGAATACCTGTCGACTCGGGTAGCTCCAGTTGTTGTGTCAGACGCCAAATCCTCAAAGTAGTTTGTCGGCGAGTGAGGAGTTGAGGGATTTCTGTGCGTTCCTCGTACATTTCCGTGAAATGCGGGGCCGGAGGTGGCTGACGAGCGGCGATGTCGGTTATCGCAACCGACCAGGCATCCTGCACACGACATCCTGCACCCACATCCTGCCTGGGCGCCGACGCCTGTCGCCTCTCAGGACATCCGCAGGGAGGCTGTCGCATTGCTAACCTAATTATCTTCAGTGTTTGTCTCAGGAAATTTCAACTGTGTCAAATGGTGTGTCGTCTATTTCACCTGAAAAAGAATGAATAGTTTCTGCAGTGTATTCCCGCTGTCTCCTGTCCCCTCCCCCTCCAGCCACATTTGCTACGATCATCCTTGCCAAGGAGAACTTAAAATATACATTGTGGTATACTCATGGTAAACATCCGTTCCGGTAACAAGTTTGACCTTGAATTACTGAAAGCTTAATTGGGCTATTGGAATTAAACAAAATGTATTGAATATAATATTTTGTGGGCTTTGAGATATGTTTGAATCACTTCGGTATATTTCCTCACAGTTTTCAACTATTCGTGGAAAGTTGAGGGCGCACTTTGCTTTAATTAATGCTTACTATAATAATAATATTAATCAAAATCCTTACTCTTGCATTTTTAAGTCAAGAGATGGTAACGCAACAGAGCAATAAAAATTGATTAAAGGACAAAAAACCCTGGGGATTCGAGGAAGAAAATGTGTGATAAAACCTTATAGTTAATCGTGAGATAACTTCGTTGCTACTGACGCCTATTACGTTTAATTATACAAGACTGATCTTGTAAGATGGATTCTACATCAGGTTTTGGGTCAATGACCTCTATCTCGATCAGGTGTTTCGTCCAATTCCCCTGATCCTTTGAGCAAATGCTGAGATGGCACCTTGTTTTACTTCTGGTCGTACTTAATGTATCTTCACAATTGCACAATCTTCAACTTATTGAAGTGTTAGTGAATGAAGGTATTTCAAAATCGTTGCCGATGCTCTTGCGGAAGTAAGCCGATTCCTTCACGTGGGACACAGTAAGGGAGAGCAGCCATTTTGCCGCTGCAAATACTTTTTTGTTACACGGGACCGAATATTATCTGATAATCAAATCTTGCCAAAAAAGCTTGTTCCTACTGTATTTGTAAGTCAACTTCATTTAGCATAAGGAGGTAGACATTGCAGAGTTCAAGAAAATGTGCACAGATTACAATTCTCCTCCAACACCTCACACTGTTGTTTTTTTTGTTTTGTTTTTTATGTTTAAGTACTCAAGAATTTGAACTGCAGTTCGTTCATCCATGCTAATAAGTGTTCACTTATTGTAACCCTACAAAATATAAATTAGTGAAACCTAATAAATTAGTAGGATCTAAAAAATATGACGAACTATAGAGCAGTTCCTGGATTATTCCCCCAAACACACAGCATTTACATTTTAAAAATCTGATAAAATGTAATTTAGCACGGAAGGCATATCATTGCACATGGAAATAAATTTCTTGTAAGAGGGAAATACGGAAACAAATTTTCGAGCTAACTTGTAAATCCGTTAAATATCAAAGTTTAAATATGTTACCGATCGTGATTAATTTTTCCAGATTTGAAAGAGATTAAACATGTCACTCGGAAGAGCGCGAAGAAAATTAAAATATAAATATAGACTGTGTAACTGGCTAGTACATTAAATAGTTGACTGGATACTGAATTAATGAAATTTCTTACTGATGTTCTATTGTTCTAGAAATTTCCCAACAATTCAGTCGGACATGAGACAAAGGACAGTTTTTCAGAGCTCTTACATTAGACAATCGCAAGAGTTCAAAGGATGTAGTTAAAAAACAACACATTCCAGTTTTAGACGTTCTTTATTCGCAATTCAAAACATTTAGAAGGTGACTAATACGTGAGGGTTCAAGTACGTGAAAAGAAAATTAGAAAAATCGCAGATTATTAAAACAAGTAAAAAATTTCAAAAGTTTCTCTCCAGTTTTGATAAAATTGTTTTTATGATTTGTGAGAAATGTAATGCGTCTTTTCGCATTTGAATGTAAGATCAGAGAAAAGTGTTTCGAAGAATTACTAATGAGTTATTACGAAGTTTACATCATGATTGTTATTGAGAGTAATATTGATTTTATAACTGCTATTATCCACGCAATTTAAACATTTTATATTATTCCTTTTCTTGCGAGTTTCTGTTGCACTCTGCCTACAAAAAAATGATAAACGATCCATCACAGCAGGTCAACAGTCATATGCTGGTCATATGTGAAGTATTATCGCTAGTTCAGAGCGCATCATGAGAAAACCTTTCAAAGTCCACACAACTGTCTTGCATGTTATGTTTACACTTCGCATCAGTCGATAGAAAACATTTTAATGAGAAATTACGTCGAATTCCATCAAAATGTGCAAAACAATCTTCTATTCAAAACTTGCTTCTCCTTAGCTGTTTGTTTCGTGGTCAGGATTCAGCGATAAACATGAAATCCGTTCTCTAGCAATAATGTACAGCTACCCACATATTTGCAATAACGCTCATAATTTTCATTAGAGATCAAGAAAATAAATTCAACAAACACATTTCTATAAACCTCAATCCAATATACTCGTAAATGGGCGTGGCCAAAGAGGCAGCTAGGAAGCCAACTCATCTTCCAAGATCTTCGAGCTTTTGTCCTCTCGTATTGAATAACGTATAACAATAGTTATGGTATAAATTAATATATTCTGAAAATCCCTCTTCTAAAATTAATTTCTACTAAACATTTCACTCAGTGTAGAGAGATCATTCACCGCCTAGGGTGAAACGTAATTAAGACAACAATAACACACTCAATCAGGTTTCATTTCAACTTAACAACTTAACTTTGTACGTCAGTTGGTTAAGATGCGACATGTCTTTCTTTTTAAAAGTGTACGTGCGTCCAAGCAACTGAATATGAAAATATAATAATTATCACAACAACGTTATTGTATACTGCTTAAGTGAAATTTAGGTAACTTTGTTTTTATATATTTTAATAAGCTTTTTGTCTTTAATAAAATTGATTTATTAAATTAAGAAGCATATATGTCTCTAAAAATGTACGATGCGTAACAGAATGAAAGAGTGAGTAATGGGCACTATATTCACGGAAACATTGAAGAACTGCAAATTTTCATATCAATCAACAAAAGAATGTTTACATCGAGTTATTTTTCTTATTTGAACATATCCCATTTATTTAGTGTATTTTCCTGCTTCTTAACTTTAATAAATTGAATTCATAAATAAGTGTTACTTGATGTGTTGGTAGCGGACCGGGCATAAAATATTCAAAAGGCCTACGGCATAAAGAATACGAAAGGCTCGCAAAGGATATAAGTATAAGTTAAGTGTTTTGTTTCCGGGCCATAAACATTCAGTAATGAACTAGTAAACCCAAAGAACTAGAATATAATATATGTACTATTTTCTATCTCTTTGAGTAAACCATAATAGAATGAATGCTACGGAAGCAGCACAATTTACGAACAAGTTCCTTTAGGAGAGGAATCTGAATACATTAAATTGCTTCCTCGTCCATTTTTGGTTTTCATACGAAAGTATTATTTTATTTAATAGGTAATTATTACAAAAAATAGCTTACGGAAGTAGCATACGGAAGTAGTAAACAGTAGAAACTAAGATGTGTTACTTTTGAAAGCACTCCTCTCAAAGTCAAGAGAGGAAAACACAAAAATAAAGCAAACAAAATATGTGAAGAGAGCTTTGCCCTTGTAAAGGCCTCATATAATTTATTTCAGCCTTTGAATATCCAATACAAGGAGGCAGCAGAAAGTACGAATAAAGTGTTTGGAAAGTAAATTTTCCATACTCTTTATTTATTTGTTAAAAGGCGTTATAAAGAAAATAGAGGCCCAGTTTTCACGCATGCATACAGAAAAATATTCTGCTCTTCATTCAATATAGCTTTAAACCATCTTTATAGAACACTTTATAGAACACAAGTGATGCAAAAGACCCTAAACTGAATACAGCGGTGGCGAAATTCAAAAATACATTTAATGACATTGCTGGATGTGCATCTAGAGAAAGAAATCAGTAGGTACTATGTAAACATCTGAAGACGAGAAAGAAAGTAACTGCAAGTCAAGCTAAATATCAAGTTTTTTCATTAGATCTGCAGGAAACTTTATCGATTTCAAAAAATTCCACAAATGTAATTTACGACCTTTTTATTTATAAATACATGATGTTGAAATTGGTCGAAATCAGTTTGCATGACCATAGTTAAAAGGGGGATGAATTAAATTCAATTGTTTTCATGTGTAAAAAAAGTGTAAAATACTCAACATATTAATTCAAATGCATGAACAAAACAAAAATATTATAGTAACTCTTTTCATGAGACTTGTCAACAATTCTGGTTGCATGCGTGACTCGTCATGACACGGACAGATCATTCACGCTTGCTTCAATTAAAAAAGAACAAGTAAGGCAGCAGTTCATTTTTAACGCTGATTTCTGAATCAGTGGAAATAATCTAATAAGCTTCAAAGAAGCAATTATTCCAGAAACATGCTATGACATCGGATGATTATTTGACGGAGGTCTTTGACAAAGTTTGTAAAGAAAAGAAATCTTGCCACGAATACCATATTTCGTATTTCAGATAAATTTTAAGATTTTTAATTTCGATACATTAACACAGAAATTAAGAATGTCACGCACTAAGTTGGAGGCACGCCATGAAATGAATGAGTGAAAACTGGAACGGTGTAAGTGACATTTTACAAATTCTGATAAATCTGTTTATTTAAGTAAATATTACTGTAAAGTCGTGGTGTCTTGTTTCATCATTAAACACTGAATGACAGGCATTCCTGTTTTCGAAATCTAAAACGTTCTTGCCCATTAGCAAACCTATGCCATAACTAATCGATTCCTCCATTATTTTTAACATTTACTATATGTTCCCCTAATGTAACTTTTCAGAGCATTCCATTATTTATGAAAACTATGATATAAATACCTGAGAATAGAAATGCATTTGTCCTAATTTTGCATTTACGAAATTACTGTTACTTTACTTATTTTATTTACAAGAGTATATTCTTTTACTGATGAACACCTGAGGAGGAAATAAACTTATACTTTCTGAACAAGAATAGAAGTTTTGTCTGATTAGGCGAAACTCCCAATTTTAT